AAATGACATTGCCGAAGTCAAGGATCGGTAGGATAGTCAGTTTTACGAGGGCATGTTTGGCAGCATGAGTGAAGGAGGCTTTGTTGCGAAATAGGAAGCCAATTCTAGATCTAACTTTTGATTGGAGATGCTTAATGTGAGTCTGGAAGGAGAGTTTACAGTCTAACCAGACACCTAGTATTTGTAGTTGTCCACATACTCTAGGTCAGACCCACCAAGAGTAGTGATTCTAGTCGGGTGGGCAGGTGCAAGCAGCGTTCGGTTGAAGAGCATGCATTTAGTTTTACTAGTGTTTAAGAGCAGTTGGAGGCTACGGAAGGAGTGTTGTATGGCGTTGAAGCTCGTTTGGAGGTTTGTTAACACAGAGTCCAATGAAGGGCCAGATGTATACAAAATGGTGTCGTCCGCATAGAGGTGGATCCGAGCGTCACAAGCAGCAAGAGCAACATCATTGATATACACAGAGAATAGAGTCGGCCTGAGAATTGAACCCTGTGGCACCCCCATAGAGACTGCCATAGGTCCAGACAACAGGCCCTCCGATTTGACACATTGAACTCTGAGAAGTAGTTGGTGAACCAGGCGAGGCAGTCATTTGAGAAACCAAGGCTATTTAGTCTGCCAATAAGAATGCGGTGGTTAACGCCTTGGCCAGGTCGATGAAGACGGCTGCGCAGTACTGTCTTTTATCGATCGCGGTTATTATATCGTTTAGGACCTTGAGCGTGGCTGAGGTGCACCCATGACCAGCTCGGAAACCGGATTGCATAGCGGAGATGGTACGGTGGGATTCAAAATGGTCGGTGATCTGTTTGTTAACTTGGTTTTCAAAAACTTTTGAAAGGCAGGGCAGGATGGATATAGGTCTGTAACAGTTTGGATCTAGAGTGTCACCCCCTTTGAAGAGGGGGATGACCGCGGCAGCTTTCCAATCTCTGGGGATCTCAGACGTTACGAAAGAGAGGTTGAACAGGCTAGTAATAGGGGTTGCTACAATTTCGGCGGCTAGTTTTAGAAAGAAAGGGTCCAGATTGTCTAGCCCAGCTGATTTGTAGAGGTCCAGATTTTTCAGCTCTTTCAGAACATCAGCTGTCTGAGTTTGTGTAAAGGAGAGGCGGGGGGGGGGGCATGGGCAAGTTGCAGTGGAGGGTGCAGAGCTGGTGGCTGGGGTAGTGGTAGCCAGGTGGAAAGCATGGCCAGCCGTAGCAAAATGCTTGTTGAAATTCTCGATTATTGTAGATTTATCGGTGGTGACAGTGTTTCCTAGCCTCAGTGCAGTGGGCAGTTGGGAGGAGGTGCTCTTATTCTCCATGGACTTTACAGTGTCCCAAAACTTTTTGGAGTTAGTGCTACAGGATGCACATTTCTGTTTGAAAAAGCTAGCCTTTGCTTTCCTAACTGATTGTGTATATTGGTTCCTGACTTCCCTGAAAAGTTGCATATCGCGGGGGCGGTTCGATGCTAATGCAGTACGCCACAGGATGTTTTTGTGCTGGTCAAGGGCAGTCAAGTCTGAGGAGAACCAGGGGCTATATCTGTTCTTAGTTCTGCATTTTTTGAATAGGGCATGCTTATTTAAGATTGAGAGGAAAGCACTTTTAAAGAACAACCAGGCATCCTCTACTGACGGAATGAGGTCAATATCCATCCAGGATACACGGGCCAGGTCAATTAGAAAGGCCTGCTCGCTAAAGTGTTTTAGGGAGCGATTGACAGTGATGAGGGGTGGTCGTTTGACCGCGGACCCATTACGGAAGCAGGCAATATGGCAGTGATCGCTGAGATCCTGGTTGAAGACAGTGGAGGTGTATTTAGAGGGTACATTTTTCAGGATGATATCTATGAGGGTACCCATGTTTACAGATTTTGGGTTGTACCTGGTAGGTTCCTTGATAATTCGTTTGAGATTGAGGGCATCTAGTTAAGATTGTAGGTTGGCCCGGGTGTTAAGTATATCCCAGTTTAGGTCACCAAGCAGTACGAACTCTGAGGATAGATGGGGGGAAATCAGTTCACATATGGTGTCTAGGGCACAGCTCGGGACTGAGGGGGGTCTGTAGCAAGCGGCAACAGTGAGAGCCTTATTTCTGGAAAAGTGGATTTTTAGAAGTAGAAGCTCAAACTGTTTGGGCACAGACCTGGATAGTATGATATAGCTCTGCAGGCTATCTCTACAGTAGATTGCAACCCCACCCCCTTTGGCAGTTCTATCGAGACGGAAAATGTTGTAGTTGGGGATGGAAATTTCAGAATTTTTGGTGGCTTCCTAAGCCAGGATTCAGACACTCATAGAACATCAGGGTTGGCGGAGTGTGCTAACGCAGTGAATAACTCAAACTTAGGGAGGAGGCTTCGGATGTTAACGTGCAAGAAACCAATGCTTTTACGGTTACAGAAGTCAACAAATGATCAACCCTGGGGAGTAGGAGTGATACTGGGGGCTACAGGGCCTGGGTTAACCTCTACATCACCAGAGGAACAGAGGAGAAGTAGAATAAGGATACGGCTAAAGGCTTTAAGAACTGGTCTTCTAGTGCGTTGGGTACAGAGAAAAAAAGGGGCAGATTTCCGGGCGTTGTAGAATAGATTCAGGGCATTATGTACAGACAAGGATATGGAAGGATATGAGTACAGTGGAGGTAAACCTAAGCGTTGGGTAACGATGAAAGAGATAGCGTCACTGGAGGCACCGATTGAGTCGCGTGTATGGGGGTGGGACAAAGGAGCTGTCTAAGGCAGGTTGAGTTGGGCTGGGGGCTCTACAGTGAAATAGTACAATAAGAAAGAACCGAAACAGCAATAAGCAAGGCATATTGACATGGGAGAGCGGCATAAAGCAATCACAGGTGTTATTCGAGAGAGCTAAGACAACAGCTGTTAATGGCGACAATGTTTGGGCTGAGGCTAAACATAAACAGGATGCGGTACCGTATAAAGGAACAGTCCAGCAGGCATCAGCTGTATAGCTGAGTTATCATAAGGTCCGGTGAACAGCAATAGGAGAGTTCGGAGGTAGTTCGGGGGCTGCTACAGCACTGGCGAGCAAGAGGCCCGGCTTGCGTGTGCTAGCGGGTCGGGGCTAGCAGATGGATCTTCGTGGTCGACGTCGTAACGGGAAGCCTGTTGAAACCACATCAGACGATTTCGTCGGCAAACCAGTCGTGTTGGATCGGCGGGGCTCCTTGTCAACATTAGGAGGTCCCGTCCGGTTGACAGAGAGGTAGATAGCCTGGAGATGTGCCTGGCTCGAGGCTAGCTCAAGGCTAACTGGTGCTTGCTAAGGGGCAATGGTAATTAGCCAACGACAACAGCCATTTGGTTGCAGCTAGCTGGTTGCGATGATCTGGCGCTAGGGTCCAGTGATTCCGGCAGAAAATCCGATATGCTCTGGGTCGATAGCACACTGTGCAGACTGGCTGAAAAATTGTCCAGGCTAGAGCTAGAGCTGGCTGGTGGGTAGTGCAGGCCACGGACAATGGTGAAGACGCTAACGGTGGCTAATAGCATGTAGCCATTCGGTTGCAGCTAGACTAGTTTCAGCTTAAGGTTCTTGATAAAAGTTATAAACAAATAATAGAATCCTTTCCACGTTGGGTGAGGCGGGTTGCAGGAAAGTATATTTAGTTAAAGAATGAAAAGTAAAATTGAGAAATATATACACAATAGACAAAAAACAAAAAAACAGCTATTTACACAAGGACACAGAAAAAAACATTTCATAATACAGAAATATTGAGAATAATTTTAAGGGAATCAAAAGTCAAGAACTTCCCATCGTTCACCCCCTTCCACGTTTCGTTTCAATGATTCTTCTCCCTTTCAGTTCCATTCGAATTTGTTTAAAGACTGTCTCACTGGAAAATATTTGAAATTGTCATTCGGCACCGGGTTTTCCATATTTGTGTGTTTACAAAACATGTGATGAAGCGGAAAAATACTCTGCAGCTTTCCAGAACAAGGCTTGGTGACTTCAGGTCTTGTTTTGGTTTGGTTCATCACAGAGAATACACTAATAAGTATAACACGCACTTCCTTGAGCCTGAGGTGTTTGGGCCTTTCCTAGATGTGGTTAATAACAGTAGGGAGAAAACATTTTGAAAGGGGGAGGTGCTACCTGAACTTGTCCAATAAGAACACAGATTGTTTTGTTTTCCATTGCAAAACATTTAAAAACATCTGCCCTGCTGAACACGACCCACACCCGGCAACTATATTTCATTGCATATTTTGGGTTATTATCTGTCTATAAGGTGCTTAAGATTGCTAAACTTACATAGAGTTACAGTACAGGTTTCTGTTGTGCCATTGTCTTACAGTAGTAGTAGTAGTAGTGCCTTAGCTTCTCTTTTCCTATCTTACATACAGTGTGTTAACTACGGTGGGCCTAGTGTGACACTTTTTCTATCTTTATTTCATTCAGCTATCGCTCCCGGTGCTGTGAAGACCCAACCAGTGGACCCAGTCGGAAGGTGGGCCTTCCTCCCCTGCGGCCCCTCCCCTTCCTCACCCTAAGCCAATCCTAGACTCAAACCACAGCCCAGTTTCCCATAGATACTTCCTTCCTCCTTTGGTTATTCAAGAGCACATAGATCCATCGTGGTGAACAAAACCCAGGTTGTTGCACAGTAAGAAAAAGCATTGAGAGAGAAAAGAGCACTAGGCCTATTTGTTAGTGTTGTTTTGGAGAAAATAAGTAAACAATAGATTAAATCAGAGAGAGTGAAGAGGAAGCGTTGAACGTGACCGATTGAAAGCTGTTTTTTACAAAGAAATAAAGCAACGATTTCTCTTTTTTTACACTCTGTCATTTCAGTCAGAGATGAACAGACTCAAACAGAAGCTCTCATGCAAGTGAGGTAACAGATTGACATTCTGTCAACGAATCACACGTACACAAACTTTGACCTACGGAACCCCTGCACACAGGGCTTTTGGGTAAACAAACACTCCCAACATAGACGTTTTCTCCCGGAGCCCACCGCACTCTCTCCAGTCTCATGATGATGTGTGAGGTGATGCCCACCATTTCGGAGGACGGGCGCAGCGGAGGCCCCTCCTCTCCCGGGGTCGGGGCTGGGATTGGAGGCCCTGGTGGGGCCATGGGGGGAGGGGGCTACGGTGGCCGAGGGGAATCCAGGGGCGCGGTTGACGAGGGGGGCAGCACAGGGAACCTGGAATCCCTGATGGTCAACATGCTGACCGAGAGGGAGAGGCTGTTGGAGAGCCTGAGGGAGACCCAGGACAGCCTTGGGACGGCCCAGCTACGCCTCAGAGAGCTGGGCCACGAGAAGGACTCCCTCTCGAGACAGCTGTCCATCGCCCTGCCACAGGTACCGTATAGAGTGTGTGTTTGTGTTTGTGTGTATGTGGTGCAGTTGTGTTTGGGTGTGTATGGGGTACATTTGGGCGATATCCAGAGTTTCATACTGTCATATCGTTTCTGTACCATGTGTTACCGAATTTGCACACAAGGGGCACTTTTTAAAAAACTAAACAAAAAAACAATTTAGTCATCAGGGATCTTGATCCAGGAGGAGATTGAAAATATCTGCTGTAACCAAGAAGCTTGATCTTGACATCTAACCACTTAGCTAGAAAGTTTGCAAACCAAATGCATAGCTGGAGCCCTGAGCTGGATATATTTTATTACATCATAGATTGTTATAGTTATACTTAACTTATAGTTAGAAGCAGTTGCGTCTGTATTTAGAAATATCCCGGTATAAGGTATAAACAGTATATCACCCAAGCCTAGTACGGGGGGTTGTGTATAGTATATCTGTGTATGAGTGTGGGTACAGTCAGTATATGTTCACGTGAGTATGTGGGTATGATTGGCATGTCTAAGTGTGTGTGTGTGCGTTTTGTGTGCAACTGCATGTGTGTGTGTTCATGCATGCTCGTGCATGTCGTGTGTGTACAGTTGAAGTCGAAGTTTACATACACCTTAGCCAAATACATTTAAACTCAGTTTTTCACAATTCCTGACATTTAATCCTAGTAAAAATTCCCTGTCTTAGGTCAGTTAGGATCAACACTTTATTTTAAGAATGTGAAATGTCAGAATAATAGTAGAGAGAATGATTTATTTCAGCATTTATTTATTTCATCACATTCCCAGTGGGTCAGAAGTTTACATACACTCAATTAGTATTTGGTAGCATTGCCTTTAAATTGTTTAACTTGTGTCAAACGTTTCGGGTTGCCTTCCACAGGCTTCCCACAATACGTTGGGTGAATTTTGGCCCATTCCTCCTGACAAAGCTGGTGTAACTGAGTCAGGTTTGTAGGCCTCCTTGCTCACACACGCTTTTTCAGTTCTGCCCACACATTTTCTATAGGATTTGAGGTCAGGGCTTTGTGATGGCCACTGTCATACCTTGACTTTGTTGTCCTTAAGCCATTTTGCCACAACTTTGGAAGTAAGACCCATTTGCGACCAAGCTTTAACTTCCTGACTGATGTCCTGAGATGTTGCTTCAATATATCCACATAATTTTCCTTCCTCATGATGCCATCTATTTAGTGAAGTGCACCAGTCCCTCCTGCAGCAAAGCACCCCAACAGCATGGTGCTTGCCTATGGAGCAGTGAGGGGAACGGCACCTCTGTACCTTCAGGCTCTGATCAGTCCCTACACCCAAACGAGGGCATTGCGTTCATCCACCTCTGGCCTGCTGGCTCCCCTTCCTCTGCGGAAGCATAGTTCCCGCTCAGCCCAGGCAAAACTGTTCGCTGCTCTGGCACCCCAATGGTGGAACAAGCTCCCTCACGACGCCAGGACAGCGGAGTCACTCACCACCTTCCGGAGACATTTGAAACCCCACCTCTTTAAGGAATACCTGGGATAGGATAAAGTAATCCTTCTAACCCCCCCCCCCCCCCCCCCAAATTGTAAAGTGGTTATCCCACTGGCTATAGGGTAAACGCACCAATTTGTGAGTCGCTCTGGCTAAGAGCGTCTGCTAAATGACGTTAATGTGCCCTTGAGCAAGGCACTTAACCCTAATTGCTCCTGTAAGTCGCTCTGGATAAGAGCGTCTGCTAAATGACTAAAATGTAAAATGTAATGATGCTGCCACCCCGGTGCTTCACGGTTGGGATGGTGTTCTTCGGCTGGCAAGCATCCCCCTTTTTCCTCCAAACATAACGACGGTCATTATGGCCAAACAGTTCTATTTTTGTTTCATCAGACAAGAGGACATTTCTCCAAAAAGTACAATCTTTGTCCCCATGTGCAGTTGCAAATCATAGTCTGGCTTTTTTATGGCGGTTTTGGAGCAGTGGCTTCTTCCTTGCTGAGAGACCTTTCAGGTTATGTCGATATAGGAGTCGTTTTACTGTGGATATCGATAATTTTGTACCTGTTTCATCCAGCATCTTCACAAGGTCCTTTGCTGTTGTTCTGAGATTGATTTGCACTTTTCGCACCAAAGTACGTTCATCTCTAGGAGACTGAACACGTCTCCTTCCTGAGCGGTATGACGGCTGCGTGGTCCCATGGTGTTTATACTTGCATACTATTGTTTGTACAGATGAACGTGGTACCTTCAGGCGTTTGGAAATTGCTCCCAAGGATGAACCAGACTTGTGGAGGTCTACAATGTGTTTTCTGAGGTCTTGGCTGATTTCTTTTGATTTTACCAAGATGTCAAGCAAAGAGGCACTGAGTTTGAAGGTAGGCCTTGAAATACATCCACAGGTACACCTCCAATTGACTCAAATGATGTCAATTAGCCTATCAGAAGCTTCTAAAGCCATGACATAATTTTCTGGAATTTCCCAAGCTGTTTAAAGGCACAGTCAACTTAGTGTTTGTAAACTTCTGACCCACTGGAATTGTGATACAGTGTATTATAAGTCTGTAAACAATTGTTGGAAAAATGACTTGTGTCAAGCAGAAAGTAGATGTCCTAACCGACTTGCCAAAACTATAGTTTGTTAACAAGAAATTTGTGGAGTGGTTGAAAAACAAGTTTTAATGACTCCAACCTAAGTGTATGTAAACCTCCGACTTCAACTGTATGTGTCAGTTGCAGAGCAAAGCTGGCTCAAAATAAGTCCCTGCAGTGACAGATCAGTGTGCTCCATCCACCATGTAGAGAAAAAACTATAGACTGTAGATAGGGACATCCATTAATTATATTACTGCCTCTTTAGAATAGCCGCACTAGTATTGTGCTTACACACAGAGAGGATTTGTGCTTATGTTCCCTTTTTGTCTTTTTTCTCCCTTACTTGTTTCAGCATTTTCTTATAGCTATTTTTCATCTCAGAGTGAGGGAAACATTTGTTTGTTTTTAGCACTGTAATAACCATACATGCATTAGCCTAATAGGGAATTATACAGTAGTACTGTGTTCATATTTTTCATTAGATTGACCTTCATGGCCACCGTAGGTGAAGGCTAATCTTCTTCAGTGGGTATATTCTCCCTCAAAAATATCATATTTAAATCAGGTTTGATGAAACGTATCTTTGTTTACATATCCCCTACCTGTGCACACACACAGCTTATTATGAAAAGTAGATTGTTGAACATTACCCCAATACCATTCTGTGATTTTAGATTAGAACTAATACGTTTGCATATAAGTACACAACACGCATTCCGTACAATAAACAAACAAGCGTATGTGAACTGTACAGTATACATACCACACGACAACCAATTGGACCATGTGATAAAGGGTATGTTTGTATGCTACTCTTTAAATAAGAGTTCTACTGAATGGAGCCTATAGTTTTTCATTGACCATACAGTCAGACAGTGAGAATGGAATAAAAATAAATTAGAAGAGATGCCAAGTGAAATTCAGAGCTTTATCCAAACAAGGACCAATCCCAGAAGGCCGAGCGCCAACGGTCCTACTGTGTCACCATCTGTATACTCCCCTTCTCTTATCTCCGATTTGCATTTCGAATGCAATTGTTACTATGGCTTACATTGCAGCGTAACACATTGTCATTGTAGTCCTCTAGTCTAAAGGTGGTGCTTGTGCCTCAAAACGAAGGTTCTTAAGCTTGTGCTTTCAAAATGAACATTCTAAAGCTTGTGCCTACAAAATGAATCTAAAGTTGTTTTTCTGTTCTCCAAATAATAGGATCATCATTTTTTTGGGAAGACTTATGATCAGAAGGAATGATTAAACATTTGTTCCATGTTATATTACCTTGTGATGGCAATATATTTTACTCACACTGTTGTTGACAGTGTGTTTCCAGTTAGCATTGTAAGTGACACATCAATGCTGTGAGTGTTTCTCATCTCTCCAATGCATTTCAGTGCAGTATCATTGTGTAACACAGTGATGTAATCCTTGAAGGCCAGTTCACAGAGGAGGCTATGAGCCTGAGACTGATAGTGTGTGTGTGTGTGTGTGTGTGTGTGTGTGTGTGTGTGTGTGTGTGTGTGTTTACAGAGTTGGTTGCACACCTTGAAGACTAAAGTATATTTCCTGTAATGTTGCATCTACCTTGATTAAGTATATGTGAGCATGTTACAGGTCGCCCATATTGTTCATGAATGTTATGTTATGTTGCTTGGGGGTTATGCAGGAGTTTGCTGTTCTGACTAAGGAGCTGAATGTTTGCCGGGAGCAGCTACTGGAGAGGGAAGAGGAGATTTCTGAGCTCAAGGCGGAGAGAAACAACACACGTGTAAGATATTAATCGGCCATTTTACTCAGTAGCACTCTCACAGCAGTTGTGTTTGTTAATACTCATTCTTCTCCTCTCTAGTACTCACTTTCACATTTTCTCCATCCATCCCCCTGCCCTCCTTTTCTCTCCACGTTTCTCCCCCTTCGCTTTCTGCCACCTTCCCTTGTCTCTCTCTCCCTCTCCTCCTCTGCCTCTCTTACCTTCTCTCTCCTCCTCTGCCTCTCTTACCTTCTCTCTCCTCCTCTGCCTCTCTTACCTTCTCTCTCCTCCTCTGCCTCTCTTACCTTCTCTCTCCCTCTGCCTCTCTTAACCTTCCTCTCCTCCTCTGTCTCTCTTACCTTCTCCTCCTCCTCTGCCTCTCTTATCTCTCTCCTCCTCTGCCTCTCTTACTTCTCTCTTCTCTCTCTCTTCTTCTCTCCCCCTCTGCCTCTTACTCTACCTCCTCCTCTGCTCTCTTACCTCTCTCTCTCTCTGCCTACTCTTACCTTCTCTCTCCTCTCTGCCTCTCTTACCTTCTCTCTCCTCCTCTGCCTCTACCTTCTCTCCCCTCTCTCTCTTACCTCTCTTCCTCCCTCTGCCTCTCTTACCTTCCCTCTCCTCCTCTGCCTCTCTTACTTCTCTTCTTCCTCTCTGCCTCCTTACCTTCCCCTCCTTGCTCTCTTACTCTTCTCTCTCCTCCTCCTCCTCCTCTTACCTCCTCTCTCTTACCTTCTTCCCTCTCCTCCTCTGCCTCTCTTACCTTCTCTCTCCTCCTCTGCTCTCTTCTCTTCTCTCTCTACCTTCCTCTCTTACCTTCCTCATCTCTCCTCTGCCTCTTACCTTCTCTCTCTTCTGCTCTTACCTTCTCTCTCCTCCTCTGCCTCTCTTACCTTCTCTCTCCTCCTCTGCCTCTCTTACCTTCCCTCTCCTCCTCTGCCTCTCTTACCTTCTCTCTCCTCCTCTGCCTCTCTTACCTTCCCTCTCCTCCTCTGTCTCTCTTACCTTCTCTCCCCTCCTTTTTCTTTATTTTTCCTTCTACTCTACTTGTCTTTCTCACCTTTTACTTTGCCTCTCCCTCCATCTCCTTCCCCGTGTCTCTTACTCCTCTGCCTCGCTCTCTTTCTCTCTCTTCCTCTACCTCAATGTCTTTATCTGCCTCTTTCTCTCTCTCTTTGTCTTTCTTTGTCTTTCTCCTCCCCCCCCCCCCTCTTCCACTCTTCCTTTCTCTTTCCACATTTTCCACTCTTCCTCTCCCCTCCCTTAGTTGTTACTAGAGCACCTGGAGTGTCTTGTGTCTCGTCATGAACGCAGTCTGAGGATGACGGTGGTGAAGAGGCAGGCCCAGTCCCCGGCGGGGGTCTCCAGTGAAGTGGAGGTCCTCAAGGCCCTCAAGTCCCTGTTTGAGCACCACAAGGCTTTGGATGAGAAGGTGGGCGACCAGGCTGCCATTTTGGGGTCTCCATCCCAACTCATAAGCAGCTACTGTAGCTTTCTCTCAACAGTCGCTTTTTTGTTTTGATGAAAGGATCCATACAGACACATTTCTCAGCATTTCTCATTCATCTGTTATTTTTGGCCCCTAAGGTTCGAGAGCGACTCCGTGTGGCCCTTGAGAGAGTGACCCTTTTGGAGGATCAACTACAAGCATCCGCTCAAGAGGTAAAAGCCATACGGGATACATATGTTTTATTAGAGCATGTTATAGCTCAATTTCTTGATAATAAGAAAGATACAAATGCATTCACTCTTTTTTTCCACCATTTACCTCTCTTGCAGGTCATCTCTTTAAGAGACCAAATTAAAAGACGACAACAAGGGTTGGACGGCGGGAAAGATGTAAGGGGGCATTTTTGCACGTTGTTTCCATTGTGTTTGTTTGTGTCCTAAACTTAACAACAGTACTATAGCATATGGGCATTATGATGCGTTTGTTCTTTAGTCTGTCTCTTTGATATTCAACAGTCAGATGATGGGTCTAATTCATCTTGTACCCATCGCTCTCCTTTCTCGATACCATCATCCCCGGCGACAACAGCGCCTACCCAATGGACCCTCCTCTGGATTGGACGATGGTGAGATCGACAGACAGAGAGAAACGGAGATAGAGCGGCAGAGAGCCGAGCTCTCCCAGCTGAAAGAAAGACTGGCCCTTATGTGTCGACAGGTGGGGTTTAGAGAGAGAGAGAGAGAGAGAGAGAGAGAGAGAGAGAGAGAGAGAGAGAGTATATAGCCTGCCCTACATGTAATGGTATATGTATGCATTGCCTAATTTATTATTAACCATAGTTTAGCCTATACCGTTATAAACCATTCCCAATGATATTGTGTGTGAGAGAGAGAGAAAGAGAGAGAGAGAGAGAGAGAGAGAGAGAGAGAGAGAGAGCGAGCGAGCGAGCGAGCGAGCGAGTGAGTGAGTGAGTGAGTGAGTGAGTGAGTGAGTGAGCGAGTGAGAGGAGCGAGAGAGAGAGAACAAGAGTGAAAGAGAGAGAAGAGAGAGAAGAGAGAAAAATAGATTAGGTTGGGGGTTGTATGAAAGATTGTTTAAACCAGTTCCCCTCTTCCCTCTTGTGGACAGTCATAACATTGCATCTGTTCTGCAAAAACCACACAGCCCGATTACTGTACATGACGGTCTTTAACATAAACCTGCCTCTGTCCAAACCAGTGCTTTACGTCTTCACTCATGAAGGCCCTCTGTCCTGTTATAGTCCCGTATTGTCCCTTACCATCTTATCGCCCTTCCTCATGTCACGTCAGGTTGGGGAAATAGAGGAACAGCTTGCAGCCGCCAGGAGGGAGGTGACGAAGTCGGAGGAGGCCAATCAGAAGCTCCAGAGGGATGTGAAGGAGGTCTGTCGGGCCAATCTGTTCTTGGCCAAGGCCTTAGATCAGGGGTGGGCAAACTTTTTGGCTCAAGGGCCACATCGGGATTGCGAAATTCAACGGCGGGCCACACATCATTTTTTTTTTTTTGGGGGGGGGGGGGCGATTTCTTCGTCAAAATCTATTTGCGGGCCAGAAAAAGGGAAGTTATTTCAAAATTAGATAGGTCCATTATCATTTCTACATACTTTCTATCTAGTTTTAGATGTTAAAGTGTGGACTCAAGCATTTTTTAAACACAAAATACAATTTCCCCCCCCCCCAAAACGAAATAATAATAATTGTCTGGTGGGCCAGATGCGACCCGCGGGCAGTAGTTTGCCCACCCCTGCCTTATATTCTATCAGCTCCCGGGCCTTTCTGTTCCAGCTACTGTTCCATCCCACTATGTGCATCCAATTCAAATATCTCAAGCACAGAGCCTTGGAATGCCTAGTATGAATTTGGGGAAAAGAGGCATTTATGAGTCATATTCATCATGAATCAATGGCTATTCATTTCAAAGTCAAAAAATGGCTGTACCAATCCCAGATTGTTCCTTTAATAGTAAATGCTTAATAATACATAATAAAGGCCTATTTAGCTACTTATGTTGCACATGAGTGCCTATATTGGGGTCCTTATACAATAGTTGTACCTTTTGGATAGAATATGAAAGAAGAGCCCTAGGTGTCAAGAAAGACAAGAGCAGCTGTGCACATATAAAATGACTGAACAAATGTGATAATGAATAGTCAATCCATAGTCAATTCATATGAATGTGCACATTTCTCTGTTAGATGTTTAGGTTACCATTTGACACTGTTCGTAATGTTACAATGTGCAATGTATAATTTATGTGTTTATTTGGATGATTAAACATGCTTCACTATCTGCATCATTCAGGCTCTGTGCCAAAGGGAGGATATGGAGGAGAGGATCACCACATTAGAACGCAGGTAACCCTCTTTTTAACACCCTTTTTAACACCCGGTACTATGGTGACTAACTACCAGGTGTTTTCCTCATTATCTGAAAAGGTGTCACCAAGGTGTCACAACACCTGTACCTCGCACCTTTCCTCTTTATCGCACCGCTTGGGTATTTTCAATTGTTACAGCGCACTGCAAGAGTTGGCTTGTGTCTACATACTGTGAAGAGTGGAAATTCATAACTAATGGTCATGGATGTTGTGGAGCATAAATGCACGTAAACATCATTTAGGCACCTTTATGTTGGTGGAAAGCATTTACGCACCTATCGTGCCAAATACATTTTGCATTTACAGTGCTCGCTGCCGGTCATCTTGACCGACGTTCAACGTTGGTAATATACTCCCTTTTTTTTCCTGCTAACAATGTATCCATGTTGTTTGCAGGTACCTCAGTGCTCAGAGGGAAGCAACCTCTCTACATGACATCAAAGACAAGCTGGAGAATGAGCTTGCCAGCAAGGAGTCACTGCACAGACAGGTAATGGTTAATGAACGACTACAAGCATGGTTTACATAGATGTACAATAACCCTGTACAAATGGATAGGATATATCCAGAGCAACATTGTCTTTTAATACTTAGGGCCCGATTCTTATGGCCAATTCCCTGTACTTAGATTTATCTTAGACAGGTACATCATTCTCAGTGGAGAATCTCCATTGAAAGTATATGTTAGTCCAGGGCTAGGCTTAATCCGGGTCCAGAAAAACGGCCCTCGGACTCAGACCTGGATTTTAGTACAGTGTATCAAAATATCTTAGACTTCATCTGCTCTCTTCCCTCCTCTCTTCCTGTGTGCTGTCAGAGTGAGGAGAAGAACAGGCAGCTCCAGGAGCGTCTGGACGACGCCAAGCAGAAGCTCCAGCAGACCCTGCAGAGGGCCGAGACACTGCCCGAGATCGAGGCCCAGCTCGCCCAGAGAGTGGCTGCCCTCAACAAGGTACTGTAGTGTACAGGATGTCTGAGTTCACTGTCTTTATTCTGTTTTCAAATGTGGATCTGAACTGTCTGTCTGTTAAACTGTTTGGTTGTCCGTCTGTCTCTTTCCACATTCTACCTGAATGCGTCCGTCTCTGTTTCAGTTTGTCAGTCTCCCGTGTTTCCTGTCTGTCCGTCTGTCTGTCCGTATGGCTGTCTATCCGTATGTCTGTCCGTCTGTCCAACTGTCCGTCTCTCCATTTGTATGACCTGAGAAGTCCTCCTATTGGCAACCCATCTATCTTTCAATGTGTTAGTCTGAGTTTATATTTGATCTCATGTACAGAGATCTTCACTCGCTTTTCTATTTAGGCAGAGGAACGCCATGGGAACTTTGAGGAGCGACTACGACAGATGGAGGCACAACTTGAAGAGAAGAATCAGGAGTTGCAGAGGGTAATAATGCAGTATTTGTTTGTACACTAGTCTTTTATTAAGTCTCATACATGCTTATAACAAGTTACGAAGCATTATTCTTAAAAATATATATATATTATTTTTAAAGTAAATTTTTTTGAAATGTTTTTTTTAAATCCAAGATGGCGTAGCAGTGCGGTCGTGTTCTTTGTTGTGTGTCCGTGTAAATAGCCTGTTTTTTGTATTTTTTTGTATTTTTCATACATATTTCCCTATCACACTTTTCATCCTTCTACAAAATATACTTTCCTGCAACCCGCCTCACTCAATGTGGAACGGATTCTATTATTGACTTACCTTTTATCTAGAATCTCCAGTTGAAACTAGCTAGCCAGCTAACTAGCTACTTGCTATTAGCCACCGTTAGCGGTTTTCACCCAGAACATCAGATTTTCTGCCGGAATAACTGAATCACTGGACATTAACACCGGATCGCAACTAGCTAGCCGCAACCGAATGGATGTTGCTGTTGGCTAATCACCACTGCCCCCGAAGCAAGCACCAGTTAGCCTTGAGCTAGCCTCGAGCCAGGCCCATATCCCGGCTAACTACCTCTCTGTCTACCAGACGGGAGTAGCCAGCTAACTAGCTACTTGCTATTAGCCACCGTTAGCGGTTTTCACCATTGTCCGTGGCCTGCACTACCTACCATCCAGCTCTAGCCTGGACTATTATCGGCCAGTCTGCACTGTCTGCACAGCGTGTTATCGACTGTCACAGTTGAGTGTAGAAGTGGTGTGGAATCAAGCGCAGGACACACAGAGGCTTCGTACTGACGTCTTTAGTGAAGACAAAAAGAACAAGCCAAACACGGCTACATACAACCTGGCAGGCAAGCGAACTTTACGCACACCGGTAAAGTACATACAAAGGCACAAAAGTGCGGAGCTCTCTACTACACCGAACAGAGAGAGAAAAAACGAACTAGCATCCCACAGTGACAACGAACAATTACACACAACACATGACAAAACTCAAGAGAACTTATAGGACGCATAATGAACACTAACAAGGAACAGGTGTAACAAAACAGACAAAACCAATCAAACATCGAAACATAGAACGGTGGCAGCTAGTACTCCGGAGACGACGACCGCCGAAGCCTGCCCGAACAAGGAGAAGGAGCAGCCTCGGCCGAAACCGTGACAGTACCCCCCCCTTGAGGACGACCAGGAAGACGCGGAGCAGGGCGCGTGGGATGACCACGATGGAACTCGGTCAGAAGAGACGGGTCTAGGATGTCCCTCCTCGGCACCCAGCACCGCTCCTCCGGGCCGTACTCCTCCCACTCCACGAGATATTGGAGACCCCCCATCCGGCGTCTCGAATCTAGGATGGACCGAACAGTGTACGCCGGAGCCCCCTCGATGTCCAGCGGGGGCGGAGGAGTCTCTTCTATCTCATAGTCCTGGAGTGGACCAGCTACCACCGGCCTGAGGAGAGACACATGGAACGAGGGGTTAATATTCTTGTAATCAATTGGCAGTTATAACCTGTAACACACCTCGTTCAATCTCCTCAGGACTTTAAAAGGCCCCACAAACCGCCGACCCAGCTTCCGGCAGGGCAGGCGGAGGGGCAGGTTTCTGGTCGAGAGCCAGTCTCGATCTCCAGGTGCGTACACTGGCCCCTCACTGCGGTGGAGATCGGCGCTCGTCTTATGTCGACGGATGGCTCGCTGCAGATGGATGTGTGCAGCGTTCCACGTCTCCTCCGAGCGCCGCACCCACTCATCCACCGCAGGGGCCTCGATCTGGCTCTGATGCCAAGGTGCCAGAGCCGGCTGGTACCCTAACACACACTGGAAAGGAGTTAGTTTAGTGGAGGAGTGGCGGAGAGAGTTCTGTGCCATCTCGGCCCAGGGAACATACCTCGCCCACTCCTCCGGCCGGCCCTGGCAATACGACCTCAGAAACCTACCCACATCCTGGTTGACACGTTCGACCTGCCCATTACTCTCCGGGTGGTAACCCGAGGTAAGGCTCACCGAAACCCCCAAACGCTCCATAAACGCTCTCCAGACTCCAGACTGGAGGTAAACTGGGGGCCTCGATCAGACACTATATCCTCGGGTACCCCGTAATGCCGGAAGACGTGGGTGAATAGAGCCTCAGCGGTCTGTAGGGCAGTAGGAAGACCCGGCATGGGAAGGAGACGACAGGCCTTCGAGAACCGATTCACAACGACCAGGATGGTGGTATTCCCCTGTGAGGGGGGAAGGTCTGTAACAAAATCCACCGAGAGGTGAGACCAGGGTCGTTGTGGAACGGGCAGGGGTTGTAACTTACCCCTGGGCAAGTGTCTGGGCGCCTTACACTGGGCACACACCGAGCAGGAGGAGACATAAATCCTCACATCCCTGGCTAACGTTGGCCACCAGTACTTTGTGCTAAGGCAGTGCACTGTCCGGCCAATACCTGGATGCCCAGAGGAGGGTGACGTGTGAGCCCAATAAATGAGTCGATCCCGGACCTCGAGCGGGACGTATGTCCGACCCACTGGACACTGTGGAGGACTAGGGTCGGTGCGTAACGCCCGCTCGATCTCCGTATCGACCTCCCACACCACCGGTGCCACCAGACAAGACTTAGGTAGTATGGGAGTGGGCTCAACGGACCTCTCCTCTGTGTCATACCGCCGAGACAGGGCGTCTGCTTTCCCGTTCTGGGACCCAGGGATGTAAGTGATCTTAAACACGAACCGGGCTAGAAACATAGTCCACAGAGCCTGCGAGGATTTAGTCTCCTAGCTGCCCGAATGTATTCCAGGTTACGGTGGTCAGTCAAAATGAGAAAAAGGGTGTTGAGCCCCCTCAAGCCAATGCCTCCACACCTTTAGGGCCTGTACCACGGCTAACAGCTCCCTGTCCCCTACGTCATAATTTCGATCCGCCGGACTGAGCTTTTTCGAGTAAAAAGCACAGGGGCGGAGTTTAGGTGGTGTGCCGGACCGTTGCGAGAGAACGGCCCCGATACCGGCTTCAGATGCGTCCACCTCCACTTGGAATGGTAAAGCGGGATCCGGATGCGCCAGCACCGGAGCTGAAGTAAACAGGTCCTTCAGTCTCCCAAAAGCCCTGTTCGCCTCAGCCGACCACCGCAAACGAACCGGACCCCCCTTTAGCAGGGACGTAATGGGAGCTGCAACCTGTCCAAAACCCCGAATAAACCTCCGGTAGTAATTAGCAAAACCCAAGAACTGCTGCACCTCTTTTACAGTGGTTGGAGTTTGCCAATTACGCACGGCCGATACCCGGTCTACCTCTATCTCCACACCAGCCGAGGACAACCGATAACCCAAAAAGGAGACGGACTCCTGGAAGAACAGGCATTTCTCTGCCTTGACATACAAGTCATGCTCCAACAGTCTTCTCAATACTCGGCGCACCTGGGCTACATGCTCGGCTCGTGTAGAAGAGTACACCAGGATGTCGTCGATGTAAACTACTACACCCTGCCCATGCATGTCCCGGAAAATCTCGTCAACAAAGGATTGGAAGACTGACGGAGCATTCATTAACCCGTATGGCATGACGAGATACTCGTAATGACCCGAGGTGGTGCTAAATGCTGTCTTCCATTCATCCCCCTCCCTAATGCGCACCAGATTGTACGCGCTCCTGAGATCCAACTTTGTGAAGAATCGCGCGCCGCGTAATGATTCCGTCATCATCGCAATCAGTGGCAGTGGGTAGCTGTATTTAACTGTAATCTGATTGAGACTACGATAATCAATACACGGGCGCAATCCCCCGTCCTTCTTCTTCACAAAGAAGAAACTCGAGGAGACTGGGGAAGTAGAGGACCGTATGTATCCCTGTGCCAAGGACTCGGCTATGTATGTCTCCATAGCCGCTGTCTCCTCTTGAGACAGGGGATACACATGACTCCGAGGAAGAGCCGCTCCTGTTTGGAGATTTATCGCACAGTCCCCCTGTCTATGAGGAGGTAGCCGTGCTGCCCTCGATTTGCTAAACACGAGTGCTAAATCCTCATACTCGGGGGGAATGCGCAGTGCGGGCACTTGGTTCGGACTCTCTACCGAGGTCGCCCCTACGGAAACACCTAGACATCTCCCTACACACTGAGCAGACCACTCCATAAGAGCCCTCTGTTGCCACGCTATAGTAGGATCATGGGTGCTTAACCAGGGAAGGCCCAACACCACGGGATACGCAGGAGAGTCAATCAGATAAAACTGAATGCTCTCCTCATGACCCCCCTGCGTCGTCATAGTCAGTGGTGCTGTGACCTCCCTGATCAGGCCCGACCCCAACGGCCGGCTGTCTAGTGCGTGGACAGGAAATGGATTGTCTACCGGCCGAAGGGGAATCCTTAACCTACTACAAAATGCCCGATCAATAAAGTTCCCAGCTGCGCCTGAATCTACTAGCGCCTTATGCTGGGAATGAGGTGCCACCTGTGGAAACCTCACAGGAATACTCATGTGACCAACAGAGAGCTCTGGGTGAGTGGGGCGTCTACTCACCTGAAATGACTCCCCAGTGCGTGGCCTGTTGTCACCTCCCCTAGGAGACCCTCCCCAGCACCTGGCCGCAGTGTGTCCTCCACGACCGCAGGTGGTGCAGTGGATGGCCCCCCTCGGGTTCCCCCTCCTCCTCTCTCTAGCGCCAGCACCCCCTAGCTCCATGGGAATCGGCTCGGGGGCGCTGGAGGGTGGACTGGACGACCCCCACTCGGGACGTCCGCGGGTAGCCAGCAGGGTATCCAGACGGATGGAAACGTCCACCAACTGGTCAAACGACAGGTTGGTGTCCCTGCAGGCCAGCTCCCTACGAACGTCCTCGCGTAGACTACATCGGTACTGGTCAATGAGGGCCCTCTCATTCCACCCCGCATCCGCCGCTAGTGTCCGGAACTCCAGTGAGAACTCCTGTGCGCTCCTCTTCCCCTGTCGGAGGTGGAATAGACGCTCTCCCGCCGCTTTCCCCTCAGGGGGATGATCGAAAACAGCCCTGA